GCAAAGGAGATCCTCCGGAAGTTCAACATGAACAACTGCAAACCAGTTGCAACTTCTGTCGAAGTCGGAGTGAAGCTGAGGAGAGACTCACCAGGAATCTCTATTGATCCAACTTTGTATAAGAGCTTAGTCGGAAGTCTGTGGTACCTGACCATCACAAGACTCGACATAAAGTTTGCGGTTGGATTGGTGAGCAGATTCATGGAGGAGCCAAGGCAAGAACACTTCAAGGTAGCCAAGAGGATTCTCTGGTATGTTCAAGGAAGCATTAATGAAGGATTATTTACTCACAAAGTGTAGATCCAAGACTAGTCAGTTACACCGACAGTGACTATGGGGGAGACTTGGATGAAAGAAAGAGTACATCTAGCTACATGTTCAGCATTGGATAAGTAATCTTTTCTTAGTCATCAAAGAAGCAGTCTGTTGTTGCTTTATCAAGTTGTGAAGCAGAATACATTACTGTATCTGCAGGTGCATGCCAAGCGATATGGCTTAGAAATCTAATAAAGGAGCTGCAACATGAACAAGAAGCACCAACAGGGGTCATCATAGACAACAAGTTAGCTATTACGTTTGCAAAGAACCTAGTAGCACATGGAAGAAGTAAGCACATAGAGACAAGATTCCACTTCATCCGACATCAAGTCACGAAGAAGATTGTGAAGATGATATATTGCAAGTCTGAAGACCAAATCATTGACATCTTCACCAAGCCATTGAAGACAGAAACATTTTTAAAGCTTAAGAAGAAGCTTAAGACAGAAACAAATCGTTGACATTTATAAATTTTTTTAATTGGATTTTGCTTCAGCTCTTCAAATTATCTAACCAACATTAAGGAGTATCAAAATCATCGTGGCAACGATATAATCAAGCTAACTTCAAGGGCATTTCCATATAGCTATATAGATGAAAGAAAATGACGCGGTGCGGAAGTAAAAACCTCGGAATCCACCAAGGGTATTATTTGAATCTACAAAGAACGATATCTGAATCCACGAAGAACTTCAAATCCACAAAGAAAATATTGAAAGAGAAAATTTAATGAAAAGATATGCTTCTAGGGTTTACAATATTGTGGTTAAACAGAAAAGAAACAAGACTCCTACTATAACTAAAACTTTACCAAAAATAGAAATAACAAAACTCTTCCTAAAAAGACTTCTTAAGATTAGGGAAGTAAATCGGCCAAATTTGGGAACAAACCAGGTTTGCTTCCTAATCAAAACAGACTCCTAAAACATTACCAATAATAGTAAAGAACTAACAAAAACACTAGTATCTCTAAATCCGGAGGGAATTTGGCAAAACGAACGGTGACAAATCGAACTTCAGTAGATTTTGTTGGCCCCATATCGAAAACATACACGATTTTCATATATAATTCGTTCAATTCCGACTTACAGTTTGAAAGATATGACCCGTTCTTCGCGGCAAGTTATTTTACTCGACCGATTCCGCATTTAGACTTGTGTCTGTCCCGCTTCCACATAAATATGTCCTCCGTGTGTTCTACATCAGAAAAACATGATATGGTAGTAACGCCTCTCATTCAAATATAATATGATTTCTAAGCTTATTATATAGTTCACATTATTCGTACAGTTCTCTCTTATAAGATTGAATCTCTTTGCACTCCTTTCTCACACATCCGCCTTATCCCAAAAATGATAGATGACTAAGGGTACAATTTGAAATAACTGACGTTTTGGTGCCAGATTTATTTTTTATTTTTACTTATTAATTGAAGAAAAACTCCAAAACATCTAGGCTTCGTTTGTATACTATGGTGTTTTTCATATTATGTTTTTGTAAAAAAAAACATCATGGTGTTGTGTTTTTCCCTTAAAGTATTTTCAAAACACCATGTTGAGTGTTTTTGTTCAACATTAGTTTGAACTATTACAACATTAATATTAAACATATTATTAATATATTATACATTAATTATAATAAAATATATTATAAATAAAATGTTATAATATTTAGTTTATATTATTATATTATTATAAGTATTAATATAATATAATATAATATTGTATAATGTATTATAATATTATATTGTATTTTAATGAGTTATATTGTTTTATAATTATTATTATACTTACTACTATATTATTAATAAATTTATATATTACAAATATTTTAATATTATATAATATATTATAGTTTCTAATATGTTAGAGTTTATTAATAATACTATAAAAATTTTAGATATAAATTAATATTATTATATTATAAATATATTATTTTTATATTATTATATTATTATAAGATATTTTAATTAGGGGAAAATGCTTCCAACCCCCAAAAGCTAAGAAAACATGCTTCCCCCCCAAGACTTCGTCAACAGGTGTTTTGCCCTCAAAAAAAATATTTTATTCTTTGAGCCCCCAAAATACAAAACCCAAGAGATTAAAATATGTGAAGACCATAATACCCTTCTCTCTCTCTCTCTTTTTATCATGATGTACTGAGATGATAGTCGAAATATTTGATGGGGATTATTTTATTATTTTTGTTTTTTAATATTTTCGTTGTTGATAAGGGGAACTAACTGTTTGTATTGGGAGATTGTTAAAGTTAAGGGTTAATTGTTAATGTTACGAGTTAATTGTTAAGATTACGGGCCAATTGCTAAGGTTATGGATCCCTTCTCTCTCTCTCTCTCTCTCTCTCTCTATCATGATGTTACTTTGATGATGTTGAAATGATTGAAGGGGATTGTTATTTTATTATTTTTATTTTTTATTATTTTTATTGTTGGTGATGATGTTGAAATGATTGAAGGGGATTGTTATTTTATTATTTTTATTTTTTATTATTTTTATTGTTGATGAGGAAACTAATTATTTTTGTTTGTATTGTTATTTTATTATTTTTATTTTTTATTATTTTTATTGTTGATGAGGAAACTAATTATTTTTGTTTGTATTGGGAGATTGTTAAGGTTACAGGTTAATTGTTAAGATTACGGGTTTAATTGTTAAGGTTACGGGTTAATTGTTAGGTTATGGATCGGTTGTTAAGGTTACGGGTCAATTGTTAAGGTTATGGATCGGTTGTTAAGTTTACGTGTTGGTTGTGAAGGTTACACATTGGGATATATATATGTATATATATTTTGAGTGGAATGAATAGTTTGGGTCACTTGGCCCAGTGGTAAAGTTTGGGAGTTTGGACAAGAGGTTAGGGGTTCATAGGGTTCAACCCCCTCCAGCCACAATATTTTTAGAATATTCGTTGTTAAGGATAATGGTTGATTGTGAAGGTTACAGATTGGTTGTTAATGTTACAAGTTTGTTATTAAGGTTACGGGTTTGTTGTTAAGGATATGCGTTGGTTGTGAATGTTACGCTTGGGTTGTGAAGTTAACCTACATAACAAACTCGTAAACTTAACAACAAACCCGTAACCTTAACAATAAACTCGTAACTTTAACAACCAACCCGTAACCTTCACAACTAACCCGTTATGGGTTTTTAGAATATTCATTGTTAAGGATAATGGTTGGTTGCAAATATTACGGGTTAGTTGTGAATGTTACGGGTTGGTTGTTAAGGTTACGGGTTTGTTGTGTAGGTTAACTTCATAACTAAAGCGTAACATTCACAACCAACGCATATCCTTAACAACAAACTCGTAACATAAACAACCAACCCGTAACCTTCACAATCAACCATTATCCTTAACAACAAATATTCTAAAAATATTGTGGCTGTAGGGGTTTGAACCACTAACCTTTTGTCCAAACTCCTAAACTTTACCACTAGGCTAGGTGACCCAAACTATTCATTCCACTCAAAATATATATACATATATATCTCAACGTGTAACATTCACACCCAACCCGTAAACTTAACAACCGATTCATAACCTTAACAACTGATCCGTAACCTTAACAACTGATCCATAAACGTAACAATTAACCCGTAACCTTATAAACCCGTAACATTAACAATTAACCCGTAACCTTAACAATCTTCCAATACAAACAAAAACAATTAGTTTTCTCATCAACAACGAAAATAATAAAAAATAAAAATAATAAAATAATAATCTCCTTCAATCATTTCAACATCATCATAGTAACATCATGATAGAGAGAGAGAGAGAGAGAGAGAGAGAGAGGATCCATAACCTTAACAATTGACCCGTAACATTAATAATTAACCCTTAACTATAACAATCTCCCAATACAAACAATTAGTTCCCCTCATCAACAACGAAAATAATAAAATAATCTCCATCAATCATTTTAACTATCATCTCAGTACATCATGATAAAGAGAGAGAGAGAGAGAGAGAGAGAGAAGTGTATTATGGTCTTCACATATTTTAATCTCTTGGGTTTTGTGTTTTGGGGCTCAGAGAACAAAATCTTTATTTTTAGGGGCAAAGCACCCGTTGACAAAGTCTTGGGGGAGGAGCACGTTTTTTTTGGGTTTTGGGGGCTAGAAGAATTTTTCCCTTTTAATTATTATATATTTATATTATTTAATAAATATTACTAATATAGTAGATTTTTTTAATTATAATATAATATAGTATAATATAATAAGTATGTTGAAAATAACTATATATTACCTATATTTAATATATTATGTTAGTTTTTATATTAATACCTCCTCAAACTCAAAACCAAAACACCAAATTTAAAACGTCTAAAATGTGTTTTGAAATAAGTGTTGTGTTTTTGGTTTGAGGATGATTTAGCTCAAAAAATATCATGGTTTGTAAACGCATGGTGTTTTGTTTTTTGAGAAAAACACCATAGAAACAAGTAAAACTACGGGTATCCAAAGAAAATATTTTTCTTTCAAATAATGCCAAACATAATAAAACCGCGTCATTCCGGCCAAACCAACTGAAGCACCTAAACTCGTACCCAAGTGACTCGGGAGCTTCGTGGCGCGTGGCGCGAGACTATTGGTCAACACAGCGTCAGCCGAAACCGTTGGGGTCTACGAAAACCCGCGGATCAGTATAAATTAGCCTCGGTATAAACTGAGAATCGAAACAGCCCGACAAAAAGAGAGAGAGAGGAAAAACTCTATTTTTCTCGCTTGCTCTCCGTCGTTTCCGCGTCCTTTCAGGAGAAGATGGTAAGCGATCTCCCTCCCTCTCTAAACCCTGGATCTCTGTAATTTTCTCATCAAATTCGGATAGTACGCAATTAATTTGATAGATGTTCAAGTATAGATTTAGTTGGCGTTTGGATCGGTTCTTAGTTTTCACTGATCTAATTGATAATTATCATTAGGAATCTGGATCCTTTCCTTGGGTCTGGTCAGGTCTGATGACGAATTCGATTAGATCTGCTCTTATTAGTTAATTCAGTTCATTATATGTGTTAATTAGTGATGGGTGCTGTCATTTGAACACGATTTGCGTGTAGATCTATTTGCTTTGGATTATTTTGTGTGGAATTTTCTATATCTATGGAATTGGTTTTGGGAAAAAAATAACAAAACCCCTATATTTTGTAAGAATATCATTTAAATATTAGCATAGCACATTTGTGTGGAACTATTACCATATGAGCCTTTTTTTTTTGAATAAATTACTTTGCTAAATGCACAGTTGTCGTTAATGAATAGGTAGAGCTAAGCTAACCGTAAAGATAATACAAGTAGAATTACTGGAGAAATGTTGTAAATCAAATTTTGTTTGAAATTAAGTTATCCGAAGGAAATGAAGTCATAACTCGGCCTTGCAAGGACTACGAAGCTACAAGATGAGGAAATTAGGTGTTCTTATGATGTTTTACTCCACATCTCGGATTCTCAGAATGTCCATAAGCTCTCTAAATTAAAAAATTAATTGCATTCACAAGTTTCCGTGCTTCCTAGACCTTAACTTAGTTTAGGGAGCTTTTGGAATTTCCCCTCTAAAAAACATTAACTAGTTTCGGTGCTTCCCAGTTTCGGTGCTTCCTACACCTTCACATAGTTTAGTGACCTTCGCATAGTTTACGAAGCACCAAAATTGCAAAGCTACAAGAAGAGGAAATTAAGAATTTTTATGATGTTTATTGACAAAGGGAAATTTTCCATCTAATAGAAGCTGTGAAATAACACCCTTTTTTATAGTTGTGCATATTGTTAATTGTGAATAAAAATCGATCTACAATTTTTTTGTGTTTTCTGTTTCTTTTGGGTAGTTTGTGGGTGGCGGGTGGGTGGGCGTGCACATGTAGGAAGACTACTGGAGTACTACTAGTGGGTTAGGATTGGTGTTAACAAAGCTTCATCTTAGTGGAGAATTTATGTAATTTAAAAGATTAATGTTTCTAATATTAATGTTGTGGAGTTGCTGAGAAAGTAGGGGTGACAAAGAAGCACTTAGGGCTCAGTTTTTTGTTATTTATACTTTTTTTCTTTATTTTACTAGCGGGATATTCATATAATTAATTACATTATATCTAACGAAATCATGATTGGTTCTGAGCAACGACCTATAACATGCCGATATGGGTATTTATCTTCCATATCATACCAGTGTGAAGGGAGAGGCAGCATCTGATGATGGTCAAAAGTACATCCATGACCTACTTTTAAGAGATTGATTCTTTTCTTAATGTAGAGTTACAGTAAAACTTTTCCCCCTGGTTTTGTTTCTTTCATACAACTTTTTTTTCCTGGTTTTGTTTATAGCATCATGTATTGGTAAATGTTTTCGGTCAATGAAAAAGTATTTTATTCGTTCACAAGGTAAGCATTGCAATTGCAGCGCATCATATACATTCTCTAACTGAGAAACTCACACTAGAACAGCTAATACAAAACACAAAGTAAAACATACAAAGTACTTTATTCATTCACCAAATAAGCCTTACAATTGCGGTGCATTATATACATCCTTTAACTGAGAAACTCATACTAGAACAGCTAATACAAAACATACTCACTCACAAACATAGTCTCTCTATCCAAAATTTGAATTCAACAGGAGTAGAGTAATTTAAAAGAACTGTTAGAATCCATATTTTAACCTCTTCGATTACCATCTCTTTACTATGCTTCACCTGGGTATGCAACCGCAAGTTCCTCTCGGTCCAAACCGTAAACTGCTAACTCAATCTTTTTAGCCACATTCTTATAGTTATTACTCCTCATATTGACATTGAACAACTGAAGCAATCTGGGCCATTGACAAGACCTCCAAGAAAAACCTATCTACTTTATGATTGAACAACAAACCTCCCTTGAAAATGAACATGAAAAGAAAAGCTGAAGATGAGACTCCAGGCCATTATCACTTAATAAGCGTTAATTAGTATGAATAAGAATAATCCCCATTCTATACATCCTATATTGTGTTAGGAGCCTTTGATTAGCCACTAACCACAAAGTAAAGACATGCTTTGGAACACTACTTTTATGCCAAATAGTATAGTAGGATGCCAATCAACTTTAGTGGCATAGTTGACAAGGCCATGGTATGCATATGAGATTTGAGAAAGGAGTTAATTGCGAACAAACCCCCTATAGTATGATCTAATTGTAAAGAGAACCCCTGTAGTTTTATTTGTTGAAAAGAGACCCTCTGTAGTTGTACTTATTGCACATAGACCCCCCGCGTAATAATTTTTTTACCCTTAAAATCGTCAAAAGTGTTTGAGGTGGATATACCTCCTATATTTCTATTGGTGAGTATAGACACCAAATTGCTATTTTTTTTTGAACTTTAAAAGAGCCGAAAAAGTTCACTAAGGTGGTGTATTTGCACTTGCGCCAATACTACAAGGGGTCTTTTTGCAATAAGTAAAACTATAGGGGGTCTAATCACAACAAGTAGAACTATAGGTGGCCTCTTGCTACTGACTGATACTACAGGGGGTCTGTTCGCAATTAACCTTTTTAAAAACTCCATTACATTGCTATGCCTTAGACTGCTCCAGCACATTGTCCTTTGAACCCCACTTGATCAGCAAAATATCTCATTTTGATCAGCTGCCTCCAAACCCGTGAATTATTAACTTTGACTTGAACTTCCCAAATAGTCTATAGATACTTCTTTTTAAGTAATTTTCACTAACCCATTTGATCTCGAGATTATCTTTCTTCTCGCTTATTGCCCATAAGAGTATAATAGTTGCCGTCTTGCTCTGTAGAACAGATGAGAAAATACCCAGGTCCCCCTTCTTAGTGTCCTGCCAAACTGTATCCCAGGAGACACAGAGAGATTTTCCTTGAGTCATGAGCACAACCACAAATGAACCTCCTACACATCTCATCTACTCTTCAGAATTTTCTTAGGCAACACATGTGCACTGGTCCAATATGATTGAACACCAAAGATGACAGATTTTATTAACTGAGGTCTCCCACCGAAAGATATTTTCTTTGATTGCCAAAGCTGAAATTTGCAAGTGATCTTAGATTTAAAGCAATACACTCAATCACTGACAACCTCTTGGCTCTTGCAAACCATAGGGACCCCAGTATATTAAATAGGGATTGTACCCACATTATAGCCCAA